CTCTCTGTTGGGAAGAGATGGGTTATAAGATGAGATCTTCAAAAGTGATGATGTCATTTGCATTCATCCAAAACAATTAATTTGAGCTCTTTTTGGCATATCCTTTAGCACCATTTTTTTACTTGTCCCCATTCATCTATTCCACAAGTACTTTATTGAGTGTCTTCTTGGTGCTGAGTACTAGGAATAAAGCTGGGGCAAGACAGATGCTTGCCAGCAAGAAAGGGAGGACTTAGATGATTAAGTAGATTAAGTAGATGACTGTAATCCTTCACGATGAGCACAATGCTATGACAGAAGCAAGCATGTGAGGTGGGAGAGCAAACAGTGCCGGAAAACCTATGGAGACACTTAATAAATGCTCGATGGATGAGACAAGAGACCTAAAACTGCAACTTCCTAATTGTGTGATTTTTGGCAAGCCTGGGCCTCAGTTGTCTTATCTGCAAACTGGGGATAATAATATTTTCTAGACAGCCTCTCAGAGTTTTTATGAGAATCAAAACAAAACACTTAAAAGCACTTAAGAAACCATTTAGCACTTAAGAAACCATTATTCTCTACAAGGGAGTTGTTAGAAGAAATGATGTTTTTCTTTCTGGTGTTGTCTGTGGTCATGGTATCTGAATGTGGACGTTATTAAGAATTTTGGGTAAATTTCATGGGAGAATGGATTTCAGCCAAAGAAATGTGTCTATGGAAGTCCCTGAGAGACTTTATCTCAAAGTACCTTTTCCCCCTTTTTAGAAAATTGTATTATGTTAATCACTATACAGTATATCATTAGTTTTTGATGTAGTGTTCCATGATTCATGGTTTGCGTGTAATACCCAGAGCTCCATGCAATACGTGCCTTCTTTATAAGAGAAAAACATATGACATGAACCCCAGAGACAGTAGTGAAGAATCTAATTTAGTTTGCATTTGGAGTGAAGAAGATTCTCAAAGACTTTTTATTTCTTTTTTAAAGGGCTTTTGAGGATATGTTTACCTCCTCAACTCCTGTTTTGAGAGGCCTCTCAACTACCAGTGATTAAATTCATGGTGGTACCAGATTCCCCTAGAAACATTTAAAAATAGCATAATCATAACCTAGCTTGCCTTTTTGAATACCTACTATGTGATTGACATTAATGCCAGGGAAAATATAAGAAGAAACAAGGTGGTCTTTATAATCAAGGATCATATAGTCTAATTGATGGACTATGAGCACCACACATAAAATGATAATGAATGATAACTATAGAGTATATATACCATAAGCAAAATGGGTTAGAGAGCTTATCATAGGTTTATGAAGACATTGAGGTTCCACTGGCATTTGGAGGATGGATAAGATTTGGATAAGGTTAAATGGAATGAGGGAATTATTAATCTTTAGTGCCAGTTTTTGAGCTAATATTAATGGCTCCCATTTATTAATGCTTTCTATATGCCAGACACGTGCTAAAAGCTTTATGTGTATGACTCCATTTTATCCTCCTAACAAACATATGAAGTTGATACTATTTGCATCCCTATTTTACATATAAGAAAACCTAGTTTCAGAGGGTAAAGTAATGTGTCCTTAGAGACAATGCTGATATGTGGTCAAACCAGGTTCTAAACTAAGCTATAACTTATCCTAAAGTCTGTGTTATTAACCACTGTATTGTGTCACTTTCTGACTCTGTGTACACTGGAAAGGTTTCAAATGAATGACTCACATCCACTGAGGAATTTGTCAGCATTTTTCAAACTTCCTGAATATCTGTTTAAATGAGAATCTTCCTTCTGTCCTTCCCTCCTTCCTTCTTCCTTCTTTCTTTTCTCCCTCCTTTTCTTATCACAATAGATGGTGGCTTTTCTTCTCTTTGTCTTTTTAATAGTTAATTTTTAAATTTTGAGATAGTTTATATCTAATAAAGTAGTAAAAAAAAAAGTCTCAGTACCCTTCACCTAGCCTTTCTTTATGTTAACATAGAACGTGTACCAAAACTAAGACATTAACCGTAGTACAATACAATTAGCTGATGTACAGAACTTAGTAGGATTTCATCAGTTTTCTTCTAACCTCCTTCTTTTGTTCTAACATCCAATCCAGGTTGCAATAGTGCATTTAGTTGCCACGTCTCTGTAGAATCCTCTAGTCTGTGATTGCGCTTCAGCCTGTTCTTGTCTTTTGGAAACTTGACACTTTAAAAAAAAAAAATTATTTATAGAGTGCATATGTACATGAGCAGAGGGGGTGGGGAGGGGCAGGGGAGAAGGAGAGAGAAAATCTTAAGCAGGCTCCATACTCTGTGCAGAGTCTGACCCAGGCTTGATCTCATCACCCTGAGATTATGATCTGAGCCCAAATCAAGAGTCAGAAGCTTAACCAACTGAGCCACTAAGGCATCCTTAGAACCTTGACACTTTTGGAGATTGCTGGCCAGTTATTTTGTCTAATGTGTCTTATGTTTTCTTATGATTAGACTGGGATTATGCATTCTTGGAAAGGATACAGGAGAGGTGATGTGAAATTGGAGGTGTGTCTCATGTCCAAGAGTTCTTGATGACAATATATGGTTTTAAAATGTCACTCAATGCTGCCAGATTGTTTAGGCCAGTGAGGAGACAGAAGAGGAAATGCATCTCTGAAAACAACAGAAGTAGGTTGGGGTATAGACGTTGGACATGGGAAGAGATGAGCTCTGCTCCCCCACCTCACTGTGCATACTTTGAAGTTGCTACAGTGTAGAAGAGGACAGATTCCTCTGTCAAGTCATGCATGGTCCTTGAGGTCCTCTTAATTCTGAAATTTACTCTTTAGGGTCTAAGTTGTTGTCTGAACTTGATTTTCTGGCTTGATAGCCTGGGGATAGTGATAGTGGAAAGAAGGGCACTAAATGAGTAAAAAGCATTCCAAATAATGCAGTTCCTCTCTGACCTTACTCATGTCCTCAAAACACTTTTCAGGAGCATTAAAGAATGGGGTTGAAAACCAGACATGCAACTTTCATTATGGTTGAGGTGGAAAGATTATATTAAAGGCACTCATGTCTGGGAATAACAGGATATTACAGTAGAAGCACTCTTTTCACAAGAGCCTTTGAATTTTACACACAGATAGGAAATTGCAATCAGATCAATTAAAGGCATGCTACTTTTTACACTAATCCCTTTCTTAATCACTGACTTTGGTGGATGTTTTAATTTTATTCAAGGAGGCAAGTGAGGCTTGTGTGTGAATTAAAATGAAAGGACTGTGAGTATAAAGACTTTATCACTAGTGCTCCCCTGTTGAATACAGCGATTTTCTGGTTACCTGATCTGAAATGAATTGTAAGTCAGTGGCATAAGAGAGCACAATACAATAATTCATGGTACCATGTTTTTCCTACAAAGCATAAATATTTGAACACTTGCATTACCATTTCTGAATGAGTGGATTAACTAGCTATGAAATATTAACTCATGTTCTTTCGGGTATGATTGAAATATTACATTCAGTATTTACCCCCCACAAAACCCCCCCACAAATCCCTGTGTTCTATGAAACGTGAAAAGAATCTCATTTCACTGTCTTGCTTCATTTAACTGGTGCCACTTCTACGATATGATATGGCAACCATGTTGCAGCTGAGAATTTAAGATTTTCATTGTGCTCTTGGGAGGATCAGTATACGACTGTATCCCACCTTACCCATTTTCTCGGAAGACTGTTAAGTTCAAATTTATAAATTCAGAAGAAGAGCTGGCAATCTAGAGGTTTTTTTTTAAACTTTTATGTTTTATAAGCTTGCTATTTTAAGTATTAAAAGATATTAAAGCAAGATGCATTGTTTGTATTTCCAAGACCAGGAACTCCTTACCAACGTTCTAGTTTACAGACAGGAGTCATGTTAGTCTTGTCTGTAAAACAATACAGTTCTTAGCAGGTGACTTTTCATAGAAAATGATAGGCATTTCACCATGACACCATTTTAGCATCATCATTATCATCATCATCATTATTATTACTAGATAAATAATATGAACCATAGACAATTACTTTTCTCCCTAGGTAACGCATTTGTCACTTTCCCATCTAATATTCTGCTATTGTCACATATTTTAATTCTACATGTATGTTAAATCTCATGAGACATTGTAATTATTTATAGAGTTCACATTTATTAATGAACCTATAGTAATACAGTATTATTAACTAAAGTTCATAATTTGTTAAGATTCCCTTGCTTTTTACCTGGTGTCCTTATTCTGTTCTAGAATTCGAGATTATGTTTGGTCATCTCATTTCCTTAGGCTCCTCTCTGCTGATATTTTTCTCATGATTAGATTAGGACTGTGGGCTTTTAGGAGAAAGTACACAGAGGTTACCTGCCATTTTTGTCATGCCATCTGAAGAGTATACACTATCAATATGACTTACACTCTGATCTTAACCTTGATCATTTGACTAATGTTGAAGTTATCAGGTTTCTCCATGATAAAGTTGTGCTTTTTTTTCCCCCACTTTCCACACTGTATTCTTTGAGAGGAAGTCACCATGCACAGCCCACACTCAAGGAGTAAAGAGTTATGCTTCTTCTCAAGGGAAGAATACCTACATAAATTATTTGGCATTCTTCTGCACAGATTTGTCTCTTCTTTCCCATTTATTTCTTTATTCAATCATTTATTTATGATGTGGACATTTATTTTATTCTTGGAGTTATAGTGCAAGTTTGCATTATACTTTCTTTAGTTTGTTACTCAATTTCTCCCAGCTTTGGCCCTTGGGAACTCTTTTATTTGGCTTTTGTGTTCCTTTGACATACCACCAGCCTTGTGGGTTTTTTATTTGTGTATTTCTGTGTGTGTGTGTGTGTGTGTGTGTGTGTGTGTGTGAACACTTCGTTATTTTGGCATTCTATAAATCTATAATTTCCTACCAGGCTTATTTTGAATATTTCCTATTCTAGTCCCAGGATCAACCATTTCTATGAAGAGGATTGGTTTCTTATATTGGATAATGGTATTAGAAATCAAGATCTGGGTGCTTGGTGTGCTTTACGCCACTTGGGTGATACTGCTTCTAGTCTCTGTCATCTGACATGTGGTATACTAACCACATATGTATACATACTTATGTTATATGGTATACATATAATATTTTGCAGATTGTGTAACCATCTATAACTATGTTAAGCAACTATGTTAAGCTAAATATGCATTCATTTTGATGACTCTAGTTCTCTAATCCATTACTATGTGGATCATCCTAGCTTCCTCCCCTAGCTTATATGTAAACTCTAACAGTGAGAACCAGTTCCTGCTATCCGCTGTCCACTTACTTAACTGTTCAGTTCTGGTATGCATGTGTAGTAAATTCAGAATTGTTAACCTATATCCCATGGGATACAACTGTACAGTGCTTATGTATAGTTTCCTTAGCTTTTGGTCTTACAGACTCCCTTCATTTCCAGTGTTACTTAGGTCAGGACCTTTTCCCTCCACCCTCTTCAGTAAGGTTATTTTTAAAAAATGCAGTATAACCATATTGTTTTCGTTCTCTATTTAAAAAAAAAAATCCCTTTGTTTCTGCATGTTTTATTCTGGATATTTTCTTCTGACCTATGTTCACTAACTCTTCAGCTAGGTTTACTTGAAACATTAAATATCTTTGGGTACTTAATTTTGATTATCAGATTTTTCAGTTATGTTTTTCCACTTGGTTCCTTTAGGTAGTTTTCAGTTCCCCATCAAAATTCTTAGTTGTGTGTATAATCTCTTGGAACATATTAAACATAGTCTGTATCTCATGACAGTATTATTTGGATCCCATACGAGTTTGTTGATCTTGTCTGTTTTCCCCTTTTGGTTTGTGATCCCTTTCTCTTATTTCTTCTTGGGTTTAGTTGGTTTTTTATTGAATTCCAGACACTGTATTTGAAAAAAACTATTAGGGTAAAGTGAACTCTAATAAAATAAACCCTCCAGAAAGGATTTATTTTTGCTTCTAGCAAGAGGCTAGAGTCAACAGAAGTCCTGGATTACCTTAACTCAAATTCAAGGATTGAGATGATTTGAATCAGGGCTTCTACCATTGTGAAGATTGATGTATTTACGGTATATGGGCCTTTAAGCTACCCAGAGCAAAGCATGGAGAATTTCTAGGGCTCCTCATCCTTAAGTGCACTTAGGACTCCAAGTTTTGTCTTTCTAACTCAACAGTTTCAGAATCTGTACTCAGCTTCTTAGTCATTTCTTTTGGGATTGACTGGTCCCCTGTGGAATCTGTAAAAGATGTTTTTGGGTCAAATGATCTATAAGGCCCTTATGCATGGAGCACAGAGTTATGCTTAAATATAGTTCCTACCAACTTTTATTTTAGTTGTGAGACTAAGAGTATTCACAGGAAACACTGAGAGCCAGTTGGATAATGGGATGCTAAACTGCCTTACATAGGCAAATCAAGACTAGCAGTATCTATATTAAGTTGGTTGCTTGTACAATATAAGGTACATAAAGGAGAAACTGATGACAGTTGCTATCTAAGCCAGGAACTGACCTGATAGACTTCCTGTCTCCTTTTTTTTTCTTTTTTCTTTTTTGGTAGGTTTGCTTTATTTTGTTTTGCTTTGTTTTTGAGAGAGAGCAAGAGCATGGGTGGGGGAGGGGCAGAGGAATAGACTGATTCTCAAGTAGACTCCTCACTGACAATGGTGCCCAACATGGGCCTCGACCTCAGGACCCTGAGACCATGACCTGACCTGAAATCAAGAGGCAGATGGTTAACTGATTGAGCCACCATGTGCCCTCTTTTCTACTTTTATACTTCTCTATCAGGTATACTCTCTGCAGAGATAGATACATGACCCAATCTATCTCAGATTTAACAAAAACACCCTTTTAGTAAATTAAATCTGTGTTTTGTTTGGGGTTGAAGAAATACCTCTATTTAAAAAAAAATCCCATCTAATATTCTGCTATTGTCACATATTTTAATATGTGATTTTGATCTATTTTTAGATATCTTTCTCAATGGGCCTTCAGAAATGGACCCAATTTCCAGTTCCTCACCTTCCTTGTTTAGCTCTGCCAAGGAATCTTGGTGGTATGATTAGAATTCTAACTTTGTGTTTTTGTGGCATTTTGAACTTCATATCCTTTATCTGTAAGTCAAATGAAATGTGGTAGTTAATGTGAAACTCCTTAAAAGTGAAAATCATGTGTGGATTATGCATTATTAATATTGTCTTGGCTTGCCATCAGATTGTGGAGATAATAAGATTAGAAAGCTCTGGATATGGGAAGACTATATTGATGGTTCTTTTAAGAAAGCTGATTGAGACCCTCAGGAACCTGAATTATGATTTTTTTATTCATTCATTTTAGCATTTATTCCTCCATTTACTTATTTAATAAGTAATTACTGATTAACGGGCCTGGCATTGTACTAGATGGTGAGGATTGCAGAGCAAATATGCACAGTCTTTGTCCTTGAGGAGCTTACTGTGTACTGAGGGGGATAGAAATTAATCAATGACGCACATTAAAATAAATGTGAAGTCACACTAAGATGGATGCCTTGAAGGAAGTGACTGTAACTTTAAGAGCATATTTGGGGGGATGGAGGGTTTCACCTGATCAGAGATATCTGGGAAAATGTCCTCAAGCAAGTGATGGTTGCTATGACACTTAAAGTATAGATAGGGAGTTCAAAGAACTACCATCTACAAAAGTCCTGAGGTGAGAGGAAAACTGACATGTTCGAAGACATTAAAGACATTCAGAATGTCTGGAAGATAAAGGCAACAAGGAAGGAAGTGGGACATCAGGTGGGGCTGAGAGACATGAGAGGTCCAGACCCTGTAGGGTTTTGTGGCCATGGTGAGTATTACGCTGTTTATCACAAGGACATTGGGGGAGTTGTTGAAATGTGCTGGGGAATAGAATTGTGGGGATGCTGTATTCCAGAGATCAGGTGACATGTGGGCAGAGAGATGGTCTCCAGCAGGCTTCCTATCAGCTGGTTGACTCTTCCATTTTCTACCATTATGTTGACAGAGAAGAGTAATTTAATGTGAATTTTTCAATGCAAGCAGGATCTGTAAGTTTATGCCCAGGAGAACATTATCGAAAAGGCACTGACCGTAATTCCAGGTAGCATTAAAAAATCATCAGACTACTTCCATTTGCTCAATGAATAAATGGTAGCTATTTTTCAGAAGTCATTAGGATAAAATCAAGCCAAATTTGGCATTGAGTTACATCTACTAAACATTTTAAGACGAAAATATTGAGAACATTCAAACAATCAGATTCTTTCTTTAACATATTTAAAATATAATGGAATGAAATGGATAGTATGGAACTTTGATGGTGCTTGATTTTTTAATTAAATTTTAAGTATTTGATTTGTGTTAACTAAGGAGGAATTGGAGGAATTGGATTGTCTATGTTGTTTCCATATCCTGTTAAGTAAAACACATCAAATCACTAAATGATAATTGAACATTGACCAGGTACCATCACTGTACCATAGCCTCTACTGATTTTCTTTTTCTTTTCATACTCATCTCCCCTTTCTAGTCCCTTTGATTTTTGAGTTATTCCCCCAGTTCCACATCCCTTGATTTATTGAGACTCCCCTGGCCATGAGGAAGATATATCAGTTAGAGCATGAACTCTGGAGTGAGTTTTACATTCACCTGGCTCTCAGGAACACCAGATGTCCACAGTGTGATCTTGAGCATATCACTGAACTTCCCACTGTTCAGTTTTCTTTTACTTTAAATTTCAGATAATGCTGACTATCTAACTTGGGATACTATGATAATTAAATTACATAATTATGTAAAATGATTTTCATAGTTTCTGTGAGTTTCTCGAGGTGACTGCAACAATATCTCCCATCTCCTATGTCCTTTTACAATGTGACCAGCTTCTCTGACATCAAGAGGTGGGGTTCATGTCCTCTCTGTGGCTTGTGATTACTTTGGCCACAGAATATGCTTTGTGACTTCCAAGGCTAGGCCCCAAAGCTAGAAGCATTTAATTACCTTTTTGAAAGGCACTGCAGCTTCTGCCTTGTATGCTGAGATACTCCCTCTTGGAGCACTGAGTTACCATGGAAAAATCCTGATTACCCTGGGGAAGCCCAGGCACATGGATAGACGACAAGTAGGTGCCTGGTCAAAAGGTCTAGCTGATGTCCCAACCAACAGCCAGCCTTGATTGCCAGTTGTGTGAATAAAGACACCTTCACTTGATTTCAGTTCCCAGCAGTCAAGTTTTCCTAGCTGAGGCTCCAGCCATCATGAAACGCAGAAAAACTTTTCCAGTATGCCATTTGAATTTGACTTGTAGAATCTATGAATGAATATGATAAATGATTGTTTTAAGCTGATTGTGGGATAGTTATTAGTAATAATTGCAACAATTTTCAAAAAATTCTAGCCATTATTAACATGGTCATGATCAGTATTATTACCTCTGTCACAGGATAATTTATATATAGTACATTACCAACAAACCAATAAAAACAAACCAAACTTACTTATCATGAATATACATAAAGTCTAGGAGATGTTGTAGAGCATGACTTTATTTCCTTACCAAATCAGTGTTGTTGTCGGTGGCCATCCAAGAATGCCTTCTCTCACAGGCCTTCCTAACACTTCTCTAATTTTCCTACCATCTTTTTTGCCCACTACCCCTCTCCCAATCCACCCAGGGTTCCAGTTTTGGTCTGGAGAATGGTGCCTGGGCTATTTCCATGATCAGTGACTAACCTCAGGTGAAGGCTTGTGAATTTCAGATTCTTCATCTGAGGTATAAATACTTACTGAGCTCCTACTATGTATTATTTGGGACACAGCAATGAATAAAACAGACCAGAATCTTGCTGTTATAGAGCTTACATTCTAGTTTGGAGAATCATATTCTGGTTTGAGCCAAAGAAATAACTGAAATCTATGGTATGGTGGAAGTGGGTAAATACTACGGAAAAGCATAAAGCTGAGAATGGAGAAAGGGAGTGTTGGGGTCAGTGCTGTCGTTTTAGAGAGGGTAGCTGAAGATGACCTTATTGAGAAGATGGAATTTCAGTAAAGTCCTAAAACAGGCAAATGAGAAGTCATTGTGTATATCTACAGAATGTATTTTATGCAGAAGGGCCAGAAGTGCAAAGCCCTGAGGTGGAGCAGGCATGAGTATTCAAGGAGCAACAAGAAGGCCCCTGTGGCTAAAGCGGGAACTTGGCAGGAAAGGCAGGCAGAGAGGCAAGTGGGCTACACGGGGTCAAGTTTTATGACATTGTGAGGTCCCTGATTTTGATTTTGAGATGTGAGAGCAATGGAAGGTTTTGGATAAAGAAGTAATATCATCTGACTTTCGTATTTACAGACTCCCTCTGACAGCTGTGTTGGAAATAGCCTGGAGAGAGACAAGGTTGAAAGCAGGGAGGCCAGTGAGGAGGCTACTGCAATTATTTGGGCGGGGTAGAGTATGACTTGGGCCTTGGTACCAACAATGAAGAAGGTGAGAAATAGCTTCCAGCTTTGCTGATGAATTGGATGAGCCCAAGATGCCCTCATGGTTTTCGTCCTAAAGCTAGAAGCCTTTAATTACCATTTCTGAAAGAGGAAGACTACTAGAGAGAAATCTCAATTTTTGAATGTTGAGATTGATATGTCCATTAATTTCTACAGGGAAAGAACCTTTTAAAAGCTAAATATTGCCTGCCTCTCTTAACAACAACAACAACAACAAAACCCTTCAGTGTTATAATATTAACAGAGTCTACCTCTTTACTTGATCTTATCAAAGATCTTGACCATGCAAGGCAGATTAACTCACTCTCCTGCTTAAAATTATCAAATGGCTTCCACTGTATTTAGGATAAAATCTAATTCTTTGCCACAGTCTCCAAAGCTCTTCCTACATGTATTACCTGTTCAAAGTATCTTGTAATACCCTCTTCTTCATTCATTATGCTACTGCTATAGGGGCCTTGATTCTGTCTCTCAAACATGCCAAGATCATTGCAATTTTAGGAACTTGGAGTTGCTGTTCTCTCTTTCTGGAATATTCTCACGTTTTCTGTTTCTTCTGTACCAGAGATTCTTTGTGATCATTCAGATTGTAGACTGTGTGTTTCCTTCTCAAACAGTTCTTTATAATCCTTGTCATAGTGCTTCTCATCCTCACATTTTATTCATTTATTTATTTACACATGCATTGATGCCCTCCCCCAAGGTATCTTATCTGAATAGTTTGCTACTGTAGTCCCAGCACCTAATACAACGTCTGGCACATATTAGGCACTCAGTAAATATTTGTTAAGTGAATAAAGTTAGGAAGAAAAGGAGAAGGTATAGAGAAAAAAAACTATTCTCTCTTATAATCAAATAGAAAACATATATCACATATTGTCTTTTTGTTGACTACAATTTTGCCTCCCTTTGTTGAATAATGCATTTTATGTTTTAGACTTTATGCGTTGCAAAGTATTTTACAGGGGTTTGTTTTAATAATTTTAATAATACAAAGTCAGTAGGTCCGGCTATCTCCAATTTACATATGAAAATGAGGCTCAAGGGACCAGCCTTCTCTGCTTTTAAGTGACAGTCTGACCTGACCTTGAATCCTTGCCTCTTGACTTTGAATCCTGCATTCTTTCCACACACCTTTCTAGTTCTCTGTAATACCATGGGCACTGATACTGTCACAAGCAGCAGCGTGTAACCAAATGGGTCAGATAAAATTAGAAGTGGTCTCAAATTTTGCTGACTAGAGTCTTTGCCCATTTTAGAACCAAAATCAGAATTTATTAATATCTTCTGGCTCTAGAATTTTTAAATAACTTTCTTTAATTTACATACATATTTCTAAGACTGCTGGGAATATAACTGGGAATACAAAAACTTTGAGAGAACACGCTCCTTTCAAAATTTTTACCTGATTTTAAAGTCTCTGGGGGCTTTGTAATCTCTGAGAAGTCTGGATTAATGGTTGGTTCCCATGTGTTCACAAACCACAACACTTACCACAGCATTTATAGCGAGGTGAGGAGCTGTGACTGATTTCTACCTGAGGATATTTCTGGCAGAGCTGTTCAGGAGAGGACCCACCACATACAGACTTTTTCTGCAATAATCCGCTTCCATGTCAGTGTACCCAGGGGCAAAAATAATGCCCATTTAAGAGGTGTGATGCTTCAAGGGGCAGGGGAGGCAGACTGTTCCCAAGGATTCAAAAGTCCAGAAGTCACAGAGTTGACACTTTTCTTTGGAATTCTTTGCTCTTCCTTACTTCACTTCCTGAGTTTTCCTCTGCTTACTGTGCTCAGAAATCTGTGTGTTTTGGAGGGTAGGAGAGGGGTTGGATATACAAAATCTAGCCTTTGTTCCAAGAAGTATGCAGTTAAGTAGGAAGATCTAAAGTTTATGCTCAAACAACTATAATGAAAATTAGAATTTGGAATAGATGCAGCCTAGTATGGTTAAAATCTTGCTCATTAGAGTCACACTGACTCAGAGTTCAGGTTGTTGACTCTCATTTGGGTTGTTTTGGACAGGATACTTAACTTCCTAAGACCTGGTTTCCTCTTCTATAACACTGACTTAACAATTTGTATATGTATTATTACATGTAATTGAATCCATTATATATTTGTGTAAGTGGATCAGTATAGTTCTTGACAAATAGTAATTGGTCAATAAATGTTAGCCTTATTATTATATATCTATATATTTTTTTAAATGATTTCATTTCTCCCTCTGCCCTTAATAAATGACTGCATTTTAAATTGAGGAAATATTATCAGTAAAGTATGAAATGGGAATATTCAGGATGTCTGGGGGAAATGGCCAGTCCCAGTTTAGCCAGAGTCTGGGATCTGTGTGGAGAAGTTTTGAAATACAAGAGATAAATCTGGAAGGTCAATTAAAGTAAGGCTTGAAGGGTTTTGAGTAACAAACTAAAGATTCTATATTTAAATCAACAGATGGGGTCAGGTAGTGAAAGATGGTATTCTGTTTAAAAGGGAGTTCTGGAGCCAAACTACCTGATTATTACTGCATGGTACTGGGCAAATTACATAATTTCTCTCTTCCTTAATTTCTTCATTTGTATAATATTACCTGCATCATAGGCTTATGGGGAGCATTATGAAATAGGACATGTTCATTATGTAGCTGGGAGCCTGGGAAAACACTAAATGGTTATCATTACCATTATTTGAAGAGAACAGAATAGTTAATTTGCAAGTGGCAGAAACAAAAGACAATACTTTCAGTGTTATTTTGTAGCTAAACTGGTGATGTATTTTGAGTAAGACAGCCATAATATGTGATCTTTAAAACCTCTTCTCCAATCCCTAAACGTTTGGTTTTTCTCCTAAGAACTTCCACCTTTATTTATTCAGTCAACTTCTAGCTGGAGGTAATTTTAAGAATGCAAAGTGGTATGTGCAGATACAACTTCCATACACTACCCTGCCACTGGCGCTTGTGGTCTGTGGTACATCAAGATAGCGCAGAGTAAATCTATTCCTAAGATGCTGAAGGTACATGAGTTTTTGTACATTGAATAACTTAAGCAAACAATGAGGTCCTTCTTTGGAAAAATGCTGGCATTATTTTATTTTCCATATGTAAGAGAGACCACTATCCCATTCATCATCTTTTTAAAATCCAAGTATTTGTTTATTTGGGTGAGCAAAAGGCTGTACGAACAACATCTACTAAACAGCACAATGGAGAAAGCTACCAAAAGCCAAATCTGAGTAAACCCTGATTTTTTTCGTTTTCTGCCTTTTCATTATTAATTTCTGCCTGTCATTATTAATTTTCAGTGTGTCACTTTTCTCTAGGTACAAACTTTGGACAGGTGGCTTTAATGGTTTTCATGAAAACTCCAAGTAGGTGAATACTAAGTAGGAATGTCACTTCCTTAGGAAAAGTCAATGAGCCAAGGTATTCACCTTTGATGAGTGTGGGCTAGGCTGCCAATGGCATCTGCAGCCTCACAGGTGAGTTTTTCTCTCAGTGGGGTTCAACCAGATGACAAAGAGTCAGTCCATTGAATTCTTAAGATTTCAGGGTGATAAGAAGGCTCATGTCAAAATCTTAATTGAAGATTTTGCTGGAAAAGACATGCAACAAGATCATGCTACATTAGGCAAGTCTTCGGGCAGAGGATGTGTCCGTTTCGTCCGTCTCTATCGCTAACTCAGGGATTAGAGCACAGCAAGCATAGTCTTAGCAGCTTCTTTGTTCTCACCTTGTTTTGTATTGTTTTTCTCCTCCCAACTCCCACCTTTTCCTTCCTCACTGGGAGTGGATGTCTCTCATATTAGGAATTAATTTGGTCAATAGCCAATAGGAACTCAGTAGGTCATTTCTACGACCTACTGTTTAAAGCCACATCTTCCATTTCTAGTTCTCTTCCTAAACAGGGTAAAGTTTTATAATACAGTGCATCCTTCTGGGAAGGAATCACAGCTATATCCAGGATAGTCTATGCTTGAAGGTGTGTGGTCATCTTGCTATGTGCCACATTGAACTCCTTTTCCTTGTCATCTATATCTGTAAGCTAGCATGTTTTCTCCTCCCATTCCATGCCTTATAAGTAGATTCATATCTACCGGTATCATATATTTATATACTATATCATTATATATTACAGACAGATATTCTATGTACCACTCCTCTTCTAGTCACACAGTATTGGAATCTGGATATCAGTAAGCCCTTTTTAAAAAAAATTATGATAATCCTCAAACATCTATGAAAATAGTGAGAGTTGTGTAATGAACCTCATATTGGGGACTATGATACTTCATGTGTCCATATGTCTTTATGAAGTCCAGAATTGTGACTAGCACAAAGCAGGTCTTTATTTATTTATTTTTTTAAAAAAAGATTTATTTATTTATTTGTCAGGGACAGAGGGAGAGAGAGTGAGCGAGCACAAGCAGACAGAGAAGCAGGCAGAGGCAGAGGGAGAAGCAGGCTCCCTGCCGAGCAAGGAGTCTGATGTGGGACTCTATCCCAGGACGCTGGGATCATGACCTGAGCCGAAGGCAGCCGCTCAACCGACTGAGCCACCCAGGCATCCCCAAAGCAGGTCTTTAATACAAGTTTGCTCATCAAGCTGATTGCTTATTTATTAAATTTATTCTGCCTTTAAAAATAGGGAACAACTTTATATAATCCCTTGGACTCCTCTCCCAATTTTTTTTTTTTTTTTTTTTTTTTTTTGGTTGTTGTTGTTCAAAAATGAACTTGTTGCTGGCCTATGGCTATAGAAAATAACAGAATCAGATTTTGGGGTTTTTTAGAGAGGACTGCTTGAGCATCTTTCTCTCATTTTCTAAAGATGTTCTGCCTGTCGACAGGAGAGGGATTTATAGCAGACTTTTTCTTCTACTAAAAAAAGTGTGTTTTATTACAATTTGAAATAGCAGCTATTTGAAAGTACTTGACCCTGAGAGATTAAATGACTCTAAGAGAGGGGAAAAACATACATGCACCAAGACCAAATTCCATGCTAATGAATCTGGAAGTTTGTTTTATAATGCGAAATTTATGAAACAGTTTTTTCATATAAAAGTTCCTGTGTTTTTTTCTTCAGGGTTTAAAAGAAAAAAGGAGGTTTGTTGTCTGTGTGTTTTTACTAAATCACCATCACATTGATTTCCATGTGGGACTTGAGGAAGAAGTAGGTAGATAGATGATTATGGGTATCTCTAAGGTAACAACCTGTTACCTACTGACCACTGTATCTGAGGCCTGGGAAGGTCTCTGTAGAAAACCAATCTGGTTGGCAAATGTATCTTCCAACATGCATTATATTTACTTTCCTTGAGATGGAGAGTAAGCTGGCAATCAGACCAGAATACCTTATTCCTTCCATTTGAATGTATTAACTCTCACCCCAATTACTTTCTGATAATTGAGTGAAGAGGCCAGGTCGCCTTTGACTTTGGGTAAAATGTCGTTCCTGGAGCTCAAAGTGATTTCAATTCTAAAATCATTTCATTTTGCTTCAGACAAGTGATGGGCATATAAAACTACCAACATTCAGCAAAGAGGAAATCCTAAAACAGTCACAGGATTTTTGAGGAAATGAAAACTTTAGAGAATGTCTCACTTTCATACAGATGATAAAATGGAGATCTGGAGAAATTAAGTGATTTGGTGAGGTCATCCAGATATTTACTGGCAGAATTAGATCCCTAAAAGCACGTTCCTGGATCATATACAATCATGTTGGGAGATATTAATACTGTAAATGCCATGCCCATATTGTATCCATTTTTTGTTTCCAGAAATTATACAGGGATGCTTTTAAGTGTCCATTGGATAAAATATGATTATGGCCATTATGTTGCTATTATCTGGGTTTGAATCCAAGCATTTCAGATCTAGATTTTCCTTTCTTAAATTCCAACTCTATTCTTCACTGAACAGAAATCACCTATGGGAATAGGTAACAACATCATTTGGACAAAAAAAAAGTACAAGATCATTCTTTGCAGTCATACAAACATCATATTCTACATTCTATTCCTATTACTTGGAGTCCAAAACCAAAGAAACTCTTCAATCATTCTAAACAATGTGACTTTGGCCAAAATAATTGACTTCTGTAGGGGCCTTTTTTTTTTTTTTCCATTTGAAAAACAAAACAAAACAAATAAATCAAGGAGGTTAAAAAGTCTGGTTCTCAGAGAAAGACTGTCAGAACACTTGTTTGGGGTAAATCTGTTTGGGGTTCCACAAACAGAATCATCCCTAGATAAGCTTATAGGAACAGAGAATATATTTACATCCACAAGTTCATTATTTCCTTTGCTACATTAAGAAGCACAAGATCAGTGAAGACAAGCAGCTGAGACATCCAGAAAGTCCCCCAGGAGTCTTTTAATAGTGAGAGTCTGTCTGCCTGAGTTCCCCTGAGGCTGGGTGGAAAGGACTGCCTTTTTAAGAACACTGAGAACACTGACAAAGCAGCAAGAAGTCTTAAAAGGTCTAGGATCATAAGTGGCTGTTTTGGGGCTGTTCATCATGTTGCTAGAGGAAATTGCTTGTTTACTGGAAATTTTAGGATTTTTTAAAAAATATTTTATTTATTTATTTGACAGACAGATCACAAATAGGCAGAGAGGCAGGCAGAGAGAGAGGAGGAAGCAAGCTCCTCGCTGAGCGGAGAGCCCGATACGGGGCTGGATACCAGGACCCTTGGACCATGACCTGAGCTGAAGGCAGAGGCTTTAACCCACTGAGCCATCCAGGCGCCCCAATTTTAGGACTTTAATACTACTGCATGTGACTAATATGAGCCACCAGTGATATTATATATTTATGTAAGTGTGCGTGATCAAGATCTTCCATACAGAACCTGAAAAGGTGTTTATTGATATCTTAAAATCTTCAAGCTATTAATAGTCTTTTCGATTGGGGAGTAGTGAGAAATCAGAATATGCAAGGTAAATAGTGGGGCCAAAATTTTGCCTTTTGTAAAGTAATATGTAAGTCATAATTACTAAGATACATTTTGTGCTCATTTATCATCTATTTTATATTTGAGTTACTTGTACGTATATCTGCATCCCTACCAAGTACTAAGTTCTTAGAGGGTGAGAGTGTGTGCATAATTTACCCTGATATTCCACAAAGCACAATATTAAACAACTGAATTCAAGGAATTGTTTACTTTCCGAAATGCTCCCGTGGCCACCCACAACAGAGCCACAATTTCATGGAACCGTAAGGTAAATGTTCATGAGTTGTGAGACTAATTGCTTTTCAGGTGCAAGGTAGGACCTATTCACTTGAGGACCCCTAAAGCTAGCGAACCATTAGCCCCAACACGTTTGTTTCAAGTTTGCAAATCCTAAAATAATTTCAAACAACCGTTTATTTTCTTTTTATCCCAGGGAGTATTTAGCAGAGGTTTAAACATAGTTTTTTATTAGATTCTTGGGACTTAGCTTGTCACGATGAATGGTCTGCTGTTTGGGACCCACTTCACCTGGATGACACAGTATCATATCTCAGCCCCACCAGGCTGGAAGAGCTCTGTAAGACCTAGATTCCCTGAAGTTGTTTAGATAATTTATAACCATATTTTCCCTGTGACTATATGTATATCCCTCTCAATTCATGGAATTATATTCCCATGTTTCAATTCCACCAACATTGATACTGTCTAAAAGTATTCACTAATGCATCAGACATACATAGAATATTTTCTATGTGCAAGAAGACATAATACTACATCCTAGGAATGATAAAATTTGTAAGATCAAAACATAGCAGCCAGTGATATGGGAAGAACTACTCTATGAAGACAAGGTCCTTGTCTTCAGCAAATAGCTGTACAGGATAGTTCCTGCCCTCAAAAAAAAAAAAAAAATCATGGTATTTTGGTTTGATCATAGGTATTTAGCATGTTATTTAAGTTTTAGTCACTAGAAAAATATATAGTGAACACTCTACGTATACCCTAAAAGTACATATATAAAAGGTGCTAATAGGCCTTGTGCATAAGGACTTTTCATTCAGCTGAGGAGATAAATACCTAGTTTGGTTAAAACAATAAATAACACAAGAGATAATACATGGTTGTACACAGTCACCATGAAATTAAAATCGACCTTCGTGTAATGTGCATAAATTTCATAGGAGAAAGTGATAACAGTTGCTAAAAGTCTTTGTGTTCTTTATCCACTGACACACAGACTCCAGTTCAATAGGAGCGAAGTGAGAAAGTTACTCCTATTTCTTGAGCACTTACTACTTTCAGGCTTTCTATGGCTGTCTGCCTTTTAACACCTGATCTCATTTCCCCTGCATGACTACATGAATTCAGCGCTATTATATCCATTTCAGAGATGAGGAAACAGAAATAAGATTTAGTGATTTACCTACAGAGAGATGACAGGAAGTAAGTGGTAAAGCTGGACTCAAATCCAAGTCTCTCTGTCTCAAAGCCCCACTCTTCTACCATGCCACATTCCTGCATGAGGACTTTCAGTGAACCTTTGAAGCAGGTACTATGCTTATCATTATGAGAATAATTAATGGGTTAGCAGGTGAGACATGAGCACAGATGCTGCCTGGTGAATATCAAAGTGAGATGCTCTTCTAAATAAATGGTATGCTGTATTTCATTTTCAGGATTTTGATGCCATTTCTAAATGTGGGGGATTCTGAGACAACTTATAGAACCAATAGATGGACATGATACATGCCCATGTGCAGACCTTGTAACTACCTTTCTTGATATACCCCAATCTTGTCTCTTTGTATTGTACTCAGATAAGTGACTGAAAATTGGGTATTCCCATTTGTTTGGATTCATCCTTTAAAGAATGCCTTCCTGGATGCCTGGGTGGCTCAGTGGGTTAAAGCCTCTGGCTTAGGCTCAGGTCATGATCCCAGGGAACTGGAATCGAGCCCCACATCGTACTCTCTGCTCAGCGGGGATCCTGCTTCCTCCTCTCTCTCTGCCTACCTCTCTGCCTACTTTGTGATCTCTGTCAAACAAAGAAATAAAATCTTAAAAAAAAAAAAAAAGAATCTCCCTGATGGCTAGTGATGATGAACATTTTTTCATGTGCCTGATAGCCATTTGTTTGTCTTCATTGGAGAAGTGTCTGTTCATATCTTCTGCCCATTTTTTATATGATTGTCTGTTTTGTGTGTGTTGAGTTTGAGGAGTTCTTTATAGATCTTGGATATCAACCTTTTGTCTGTACTGTCATTTGCAAATATCTTCTCCCATTCCGTGGGTTGCCTCTTTATTTTGTTGACTGTTTCCTTTGCTGTGCAGAAGCTTTTGATCTTGGTGAAGTCCCAAAAATTCATTTTTGCTTTTGTTTCCTTTGCCTTTGGAGACATATCTTGAAAGAAGTTGCTGTGGCTGATATCGAAGAGGTTACTGCCTATGTTCTCTCTAGGATTCTGATGGATTCCTGTCTTACGTTGAGGTCTTTTATCCATTTTGAGTTTATCTTTGTGTACGGTGTAAGAGAATGGTCGAGTTTCATTCTTCTACATATAGCTGTCCAGTTTTCCCAGCACCATTTATTGAAGAGACTGTCTTTTTTCCACTGTATATTTTTTCCTGTTTTGTTGAAGATAATTTGACCGTAGAGTTGAGGGTCCATATCTAGACTCTCTACTCTGTATCATTGGTCTATGTGTCTGTTTTTATGCCAGTACCATGCTGTCTTGGTGATCACAGCCACATTGAGATACCACCTTACACCAGTTAGAATGGCCAAAATTAGCAAGACAGGAAACAACATGTGTTGGAGAGGATGTGGAGAAAGGGGAACCCTCTTACACTGTTGGTGGGAATGCAAGTTGGTGCAGCCACTTTGGAAAACAGTGTGGAGATTCCTCAAGAAATTAAAATTAGAGTTTCCCTATGACCCTGCCATTGCACTACTGGGTATTTACCCCAAAGATACAGTTGTAGTGAAAAGAAGGGCCATCTGTACCCCAATGTTTATAGCAGCAATGACCACGGTCACCAAACTGTGGAAAGAACCAAGATGCCCTTCAATGGACAAATGGATAAGGAAGATGTGGTCCATATACACTATGGAGTATTATTCCTCCATCAGAAAGGATGAATACCCAACTTTTGTAGCAACATGGACGGGACTGGAAGAGATTATGCTGAGTGAAATAAGTCAAGCAGAGAGTGTCAATTATCATATGGTTTCACTTATTTGTGGAGCATAACAAATAACACGGAGGACAAGGGGAGATGGAGAGGAGAAGGGAGTTGAGGGAAATTGGAAGGGGAGGTGAACGATGAGAGACTATGGACTCTGAAAAACAATCTGAGGGTTTTGAAGGGGCGGGGGGTGGGAGGTTGGGGGAACCAGGTGGTGGGTATTAGAGAGGGCACGGATTGCATGGAGCACTGGGTGCAGTGCAAAAACAATGAATACTGTTACGCTGAAAAGAAATAAAAAATTAAAAAAAAAATAAAGAAAGAATGCCTTCCTTTGCAGAGAAGGATGTGTTTTCTTAGCATATATACTATAACATGCTTTCCACTCAGTGGATCCTCAATAAATATTTGATGTTGGCTGAGTAGGAGATGGTGATGACAACCTGAGTTGTTTTCAGTCAAGATAATCAGGCTCTTTGCCAATCAAACAGAAACAATTAGGTGTCCTGTCAAAAACTAGAGAAAATCCTGCAGTCCTCAAAAAGTTACTCATTTTAAAATACCAAACACTCTCTTTATAGTATTTTAGTGTTTGTTTAGGATGCCTTACCCACAGGAAATTTAGTAGTTCAATTGTTTTCTATCATGTCATAATGTTCAATACTATGTTGTCAAGGTGATGAATTGGAGGGTGGGACAGGTGTTTACAAATAGTCCCTAGGGAGTAGGCATTCCATCTTTCCAGCCAGCATAAAGTGATAGGCATCTGCTAAGATAACTAGTTGAAAAGCTGAGAAAACTTTGGCAGACAAAGGAGAAATATGACTTAGAGCACCCACGAGATTGTCCCCACTCCATTCACACAATCCATGTATGAGAAGACAAGAAGAAATCCCAACCACTAAGGCTGGGTGTGGGTAACCTCTTCTGTGGCTTGATGCATGCACAGTATTCACATAACCAGAATTGTGGATATGGTCTAGGATGCACCCAGTAATGAGCTGATGGGTGATAACTGACAATGTGCAGCCTTTGACCTGGAACGAACCCAGCTATGCATGGCCTCTGACAGCTAGAAGGGGACGAGCTATCTTCTGAGGAAGAAGACATTTCAAAGGTGAAGGAGCTAAATAAAATTTCAAAAAAGATATGATGAACAGAAAAAGAATATCAAGATCTGCAGCCATCTCAAGGGGCAGTGCCAAGGGCAAATATCTTGTCTGAACCCACTGAAAGGGTCAAGGAAGAGCAAGGTGAAGTAAAGGCAAATCCTCCCTATTATTAAGGCGAGTAATAAAATTATTTAATGCCTGCCTCTCTCCCAAAGAAATACAATTATAAGGTGAAGAAAAATGTAAAGAAAGCTATGTGATCATTTGGGCACAATCACAAGTATAAATCAGTGTAACATGCTAGAAAAGGTGGTTGCCTGTTTGTTTTTTTAAGCTTGTCTTTTGCCTTGACAGTTTTACAATTCATGTCTTACCTTTGACTCTGTATTTGCCTTGCTGAAAGCGATCATTATCCTAAGAAAATGTTCTATTCTGTTGGAATTATTTCTTAAGTAACTATTAATACCATTCTTATAAATGGATATAATTAACTCATAGACTGGCAGCTTTCTTTGAAATTATCTTCTCTCCTTCCTGAGCTTATTTTAATCTTTGACTGCAACTTGTAAACATCTGTCTAGAATTGATGAAATGACCTCATTTGGGTCCCAATCAGCTCAGCACCAGAGACTCTCATGCTTAGGAACCAAATGCCAATAATGTAGGGTAAGAATGAAAAAAACAAAGTGTTATGGAGGGAAAACCTCATAGGCAATCCCTCTAAAAATTCCCTTTACACAAACTTGGGACTTTGGGAGGAAAACGTTAAAGAAATAATTATTAGAATAATAACTTATACATGTGATTAAAACACTCAATGTACTGAAAGTAGGGTGTTTTCTTAGATGATTAATTTGAAAAATAATATGCTAGAGGCTCGCATTAAGTGTCCTGAAGCCTGCCCCTGTCTGCCTCTAGAGTTTGATCCAGCATATTACCTCACTCTCCACACTTCCCTACAGAAGTTCTTTCATCCAGAGATTTCAAAGTGTCTTTACAAATGTAAATTAACAAGCTGCATCTCTTTTCTCCATAGAGATAGCTCATTTAAGTAACACAGAAACTTACTAAAATGGTTTACTCAAGGTCACCTGAGAAGTCCTTTGTGTAATCTGGAAATGGATATTCAAAGTGTATCAAAGTGTATTGCAAAAATACTTTGCAGTCTCATTGCAGATACAGACTATTGTATCCTGTGGCAAGAATCAATGGAGGGGTGAATAATTTTTAATTGTTACAATGAGGCTCCTACCAGTTGGTCTTTTCTCAACCTCACCAAGCTGCCACAAACCTGGAAACCCAGATTTTAGCCCTTCTCTTTCTTGTCTTATATGTCCCCATTTTGGGGGGACAGAACATTTTTTTAAAGGTCTTTATGAATTATTTTTATTAAATAAGTACTTGGCAATATTTTCTTTTTTTCCTCCTAAACTGTTCTATTAATCCAATCAAAAAATGTCTATTAATCTCTTATTTTGTTGCCTCTCACTATCCTGGATGCAGGGAATACTACAGTCATGCTCTTTCCTTCATGGGAGAAACAGACAATAACCAAGTAACAGATACACCATGGTCAATGCTACGAAGATGATAAACATGATGAGCCAGGTGAGGTAGGTAGGAGCGGATGGACTAGGGAAGGCTTCTCTAACTAAGCAGGTGACATCTGAACTAAGACCTGGAGCATGAGATAATCAGAGTCTTAGAGTGGTGCTCCAGGCAGAAGGGAAGCAAAAATAAAGGCAAGAGCTCCAGGGAAAGAACCTGGCATATTGGATGATGACCAAAGCTTAGTGCACTAAAGCGAACAGCAAGAGGTGTGGCTTCAGAGGAAGGGCAGAGCCTGTGGATCATGGGAAGGAGTGGATTTTATTCTGACAACAGTGATCAACCCATGAAGCGTTTGAAGCAGATTAATAACATGATCTGTATTTTAAAACTAGTAAATTGTGGAGAATATCTTTCCTCTGAAATATTTTTCTCTCTGCACGTTATAAGATTCACCCACCAAAGTTGGACTGGACCTGTTGAACTGGGATCTATGGTCACTTTGATACTCACTGTAATGAATTATGGGCCAGGCTTTCTCATGCCTTCTAACCAATGAAGAAATAAGTATGTATAGGAAACTGTGTGTTCCTCCTTCATCCTCACCTTCATCCTCACTGCACCATTTCCCAAACACTCATGAACACAAAGTAAAACATTATCTTAAAAGGGAAAGACCAGCCTGCTTCTGTAGAGCTGATTCAACAGTTCCTACATTATGGGTTAGCTGGTCTTGCCCTTTTCATTGAGAAAGCTGCAGTGTTCCTGTCTCATCTGCCCTCCCTCTCTGTGATTCCTACAGCACAAGGCACAGACCTATGCATGATCTTTTATCACTTGTATTGTCACTGAATGCTTCCCTTGCCCTGATTTTCTGTTTTTGAGCTCTTTGAGGGCTGGAAACTATTTCACTCACCTTTGTACTCCCAGTGATTTTCACAGAGCCAGGTCCAGAGTAGGTGCTCAAAAAAGGATAGGCAGGGGCACCTGAGTAGCTCAGTGGGTTAAAGCCTCTGCCTTCCACTCAGGTCATGATCCCAGGGCCCTGGGATCGAGCCCCTCATTGGGCTCTCTGCTCAGTGGGGAGCCTGCTTCCCCCCTCTCTGTCTGCCTTCCTCTCTGCCTACTGTGATCTCTAATAAATAAATAAAAATCTTAGGAAAAAAAAAAGAATAAGGTTGGCAGATGAATGATCAGCCTGGTGAGAAATAATGGATTATCCCAAATTAGGACACATTTGAGTGTAAAAGAGAATGTGATGAATGATTATGCTGGGACAACAGTATAAAGTTGGCATGGATGTGTTGAACTGGGATCTATGGTCACTTTATTATCACTGTAATGAATTATGGGCAAAAGTATGAACTCTGTAATTCTAGAGGTGTTTTCCAAGGCACTAGTACTGCATTTGCCCTGGCCAGTTGAGACCAATGGTTCTCAAAGCATGTGAGACACAATAGCATAGGAAATGTTTGTGGGTGGCAAGGGCATCAAGATTAAGAATATAGTTTTACATTTTCATAACACAATCCCATGTTCAATACTACTTTAGCATTTCTAATTATTACAAAGATAATCTCTCAGTTTTGTGGTAGATTATCTTTGACCTTCTCAAGCCCATTAATCTTACTTTTTTAATGAAGAGTGAACAAACCTCAGGATCAGAGCTTTTAAGCAGGAAATGGTATTTGTTTGGAATTTAATATTACCACATTAATTATATTTATTTTGTGCTTTCTTTTCCTTCATGGCAAATAATGATCATTTTCCAGATAGGATTAGAATATAAAATTTCATTTTTCAATGAATCTTTTGAAGTAAAAAATGTAAGACTTAAATACATATGCCAAGAACATACATAAATTTTGGCAAAAACCATGGAGTTGATGTAACAAATGACTAACATTTAGGTAACTAGAACAGAGCAGTGATTCCCAGCCTTGTTTCTGTGGCTATCTTGAAGGTACACATTTACTAAAAAATATTCACACGAAATTAATTTAAGTTAAAGTAATTTAGGAAAATAAATATATATGTATACATCCATTTTATTTAGTTTTGCAGTATTTTTCTCATTATGAAGATTATACATGTTTATTATGGAAACACAATCCTGGAAAAGACATAATGGTGTAAAGATATAAAATACAGAATACTACACTTCAGGGAAAACCACATTTGATATGTGAGTTGTTGCCTTTTTTTTTTTTTTTTTGGTTCTTTTGGAAACAATTAATGATTTTTAATTTCAAATTGTTAATATGTATGTCAATCTGAATTTACATAAAAGAAATGAAAAAGGTTATGGTTTTGTTTATTAGAAACAATTAACAATAGAAACACTTTAAGTATCAAACCTTCCCTTGTGTACTTAAAAGTTTAATTTACTTAAAATTTATATACATGTAATATATACATGGAATATTATCAACTTAACATATATCTTTAATACATAAAATTTCATACAATTTCAATCAGTTATAATAAGATGAGTGAAGCTTCCTTTTGGAAATCATGCCCTTAAACCTCTGCTTTTCTTACTTGCCAGAGATATATACTTTTCAGCTCTTTACAAACTCACCTTCCTACTGGGGAAGACTAAAACTATGGCAGATTGAGCTGTGTTCTAATGTTCAGCACGAGGCAATGGCTTTGGCCCTACTGCCATACCAAGCCAGCAGGTGTAGGAAAACAATTATCCACTTATAAGAATGGTGTACTTGTTGGAAATGTCTATTTACATTTTGTTCCCCAAAGCAGAACATTAACATGATATAACATTATTTCCTTAATCACAAGCAGGCAACATGGTTAAACCACAGTAGCAACCAGCAACAATAACTACTCCACACCGATATAATAGCCTTCTGTTTGATTGTGAGTTTCATTTTCCTCTCCCTCACTAAAGACTTCTCTATTTAGAAGGAGAGTGACAACTCCATCACTCGATTTTGATGTTATAAAGTGAGAGAGGCTGGATTACAGGATGTTATAGTACTTTGTCAGGAAACATGATGAAGCTAAGAGGACGACCCATCATCTTGAAATAAACTCCAGTTCATTCCACCTGGCAAATACTAACAATTCTAAAGACTATAGTCCCAGGAAAGACTAGGAATCCATGAGGTTGGCTATAACTTCTGTGCTTGAAACAGGGCTCAGTTCCTGGAAGACTCTTAAATATTGTTGAATGAACAAACCATCATTAAAATAGCTTCTATTTCTAAATACCCAAGATGTAATATGTGCTATGATTTACTATACCAACTCTAGTTCTCACAATAGCTAAAACTGTATTAATATTATCTGCATTGTCTCATTGAGGAAACAGGTTCAGAAATGTTAAGGAATGTGCCAAGTTCACACAATGAAGGCATTAGGTTTCAAAACTAAATATGTCCGATGCCAATGCTTCAGGTTTTTTTTTTCCCCTCCTATTGAATGGAAAGAGTTATATTGCCTCAAAATGGCTTCATATATGAAGAAGGAAAACTCCAACAGATTTGGAATCTTCTGTGTGACCTAGTAACATTACTCCAAAAAAAAAAAAAAAAAAGGATCCATGTTTGTTTCTGGGACTATGAAACAGAGTTTCCCAATGGCTTTCCTCTGAACTCTGAAAGGTTGGGAAGAACCTTTGGTGAGTGACAGATATCAACACTC